GAGTGATAAAACAACTTTGTCACTATGAGCAGCAAAAGCACACTGATGGAGGCATGCTAAATGATTTAAGTGAAAATTGTCTGTTAAATTTGCTTAAGAGGAGAAAACAGCACAAACCTCCACAATTAAGTAATTAATCACCCCGCTGTCTTTGTGTTCAGAGATTGCAAATCATACATGTTAGTAGTTTTGTTGGAGCCGACTCGCACTGCAGTGATTCTGCAGTCAATTATTCTGCGTGTGCTAGTGACAGAATGAAGGCAGGGAGAAGTGAAGTGTCAGGCAGAATTACAGACTCTGACTGGATCTGATTGGTCCCACTGAGAAAGCAGAGGAAAGCTCACCCACCAAGGGCTGAACAGAACATTCAAACAACATGTTTTAATCATGGATTTTAAATTTGATCAATTTGAAGTGAGAAAAACGGGAAGGAGGCAAGGAGGAACGATGTGTGCTGATTAATTGCCTCCACATGTATAAATGTATCTAGTCTTTCCCTTCTTCTACAATAAGCCTAAAAAAATACCCCTTAAACTTTGCTTTCTCGCCTCCCTTCTCATCTCCATCTCCTAAATAGTTAACTCACATCTGTGCCTCCAATGTCATGAAGAAAATGTAATTAATCTGAGTAATCGATTATTGAAATAACTATCAACTATTTCAGCAATCGATTTATTGTTGAATGGATTATAGACAATCTAAGAAACGCCACTAGCTGAAAGAGCAACCCAGTCAGGATAGTAAATATGCCAATATTGTAAACATTTGGCACTCTACAAATGGAATAGTTTTAATTTCACTTGGTTTAAAAACATTTTTGCTATCTGATTATTAATTAAAAAAAAGAAACCTAAAACAGAAAAAATAAAAGGTTAATGGTTGAGAGAAATAGTAATAGCTGCAACTAGCGTGCAGCGTATAAACGCATTGACAGTGGACGTGTTCTATTAGACCAAGGTTCCTATACATTTTGTTAACATTCTAAACTTTTCCGACTCAGTTTCTCAGAGTTCTCGACTATGGATTTTCAATTTAACAAAAAAAAAGTTTGCCACAGAGTTTCAACAGTATCTTCATTATTTAAATATGTTATTTGGAAATAAAGGAATTTTTAACGAAGAACAAATACCTAAAGTAAAGAACTTTTAAGGAAAGATTAAAGGATCCAAGGAAAGAAAGCAGGAGAAACACAAGAGAGGAGGGGAAGCAGGAGGGGAAATAACTCACGAAAGAAATTCATATATCTAAACTCCTATGCATTTGCAGACATTGAATTTTAAAGTTGCAGTGTCCGATGAAATTTTCTCCATGCACAACCTTGGAATTGGCTTGAGAAGACCATTTATTTTTGAAAAAACCCGAAAATCACCAAAAAAGTATCCACTTAGATCCAGCAGAGCTGCATCTGTATGACTGTCGGATTTTGCGGTACTTCCTTATATCTAGCCAGGCAAAGAGCACCACTGCTGGGAAGAGGCCGCCGCTGGCCAGGGTCTGTGCTGGAGGTAAATCAAAACGGCTTTTTATAAAGCAACCTAAAAATGCATAAAGAGAATCCCTTATTTTATTGTGTGTCAACATAATTTCATGTTGACACACAATTATTATATCTATATTCCATTGTGACTGGAAGAAAAGCTGCACAACCTACGTCACAACCACAACCAGTCCCTGATTGGTTTCCAGCAACGTGTTTTTACATAAAAGTTCAGATTCTTCAACGTCAACAGCCTCCGCTAATTTGTCTCTATAATGATGATCTATGATGATTCTCTATCATGAATCAATAGTATTGGTCACCAATTGACAGAGCAAGGCCCTAGTGAGTTAGTGGACTGTATGTGCATATATTTGGGACATTTTGCACAAATCTGACCATGTTTGGATGGAAGGAAATCCAAATCTTTTCAAGCTTTTGGACTCAATTATTGATCTAAAAATCCTTAACTTATAGGAAGTCTGTCAAAAAGGACATACACAGGAAAATGATATTCCTACTGGCAAAGAATTAAGAGACTAGTCATCAAAAACATCTACATTAAATAAATAACAAAAGCTGAGTAAAAACAGCATATGTCTTTCATGTATTATAGCCTGTTATCACAGCTATAAGGTAATGGAGTTTGAAAATCCCCATCATCCCTCTATGAAAACTTAATCAGATGAAAACAGCCAGAGAGGCTTTTATCCATCATCAGTTAAAAGCTACAATGATTTGCGCCTATTTTCTGATTGCCACCTTTTACCTCCACGAGCCCGTTGTGTTCATAGCCCGTGACAAATTTACTTCAAAGGAAGCCTCCATCATGACCCATTTTCCCATCCTGCAACAGCTGTGCTTCGGTCCAATAAGGCACAAAGCTTGGATTCCCCCATGAGCCCCTGCTGTACGAGGAGCTGGTGAGGCAAATGACGAGCACATACTGGAGCACCAAGACAGCCACATGAAGAGGCGCTGAAGGTAATCACTTAAAATATTGCTTATATTATCAGCTTGAGGATTACATAGCCACATGAAGGAGGTATAAAACAGTAAAAAGAGAGGTACACCGAAGAAGAACACAACAGATATTGCACTTATAAGCTCTGAATCACTGTTTTTCATAACCAGATGTGATAGATGACTCATGCAGCTTTTTCTCCCAATAACTCCTGCGAGCACTCAAGGTCTATTCACAAAGAGCAAAGAAGTAAAGCAAACTAATTGAAAACCTTCAGCGGAGCTCTGCATGGTTCCTTTAATCTACATCTGCGCAGCACGACAAGAAAAACTGAATTTATTAAATGACAATATGGCTTGGTAATTGAGTCAGATCAAGAAAAAGCATTGCTTCCAAACAATTAAAGGTTCACCCAACCTACAAGGCTGAGTTTGAGGCAATTATGTCCAACATATGATGAGAAATAGTTGTGTTGTAATTACAGGGTCCCGCAGAATTATTCCCACCTTATTTTTATCCTTTTAAAATTTCAGACTTTTAAACACTGCTCAAAAAAATTAAAGGAACACTTTAAAAAAAACACATCAGATCTCAATGAGGCAAAAAATCATGCTGTTTATCTATACTGATATGGACTGGGTGATGTGTTAGGAACAAAAGGATGCCACATCATTTGATGGAAATGAAAATTATCAACCTACAGAGGGCTGAATTCAAAGACACCCCAAAAATTACTATGAAAAAAATATGCAGCAGGCTAGTCCATTTTGCTGAAATTTCATTGCAGCAACTCAAAATGGTATTCAGTAATTTGAATGGTCCCCACGTGCGTGTATGCATGCCTGACAAGATCGGGGCATGTTCCTGATGACACGACGGGTGGTGTCCTGGGGTATGTCCTCCCAGATCTGGGCCAGGGTATCACTGAGCTCCTGGACAGTCTGAGATGCAACCTGGCGGTGTCGGATGGATCGAAACATAATGTCCCAGAGGTGTTCTATTGGATTTAGGTCAGGCCAATCAATGGTATCAATTGCTTCATCCTCCAGGAACTGCTTGCATACTCTCGCCACATGAGGCCGGGCATTGTCGTGCACCCCGAGGAAGCCAGGACCCAGTGCACCAGCATAGGGTCTGACAATGAGTGCAAGGATTTCATCCCGATACCTAATGGCAGTCAGGGTGCTGTTGTCTAGCCTGTATAGGTCTGTGCGTCCCTCCATGGATATGCCTCTCCAGACCATCACTGACCCACCACCAAAACCGGTCATGCTGAACGATGTTACAGGCAGCATAACGTTCTCCACGGCTCTTCAGAGCCTTTCACGTCTGTCACATGTGCTCAGGGTGAACCTGCTCTCATCTGTGAAAAGCACAGGGTGCCAGTGGTGGACTTGCCAATTTCCGATGTTCTGTGACAAATGCCATTCGAGCTCCACTGTGCCGGGCAGTGAGCATAGGGCCCACTAGAGGACCTTGGGCCCTCAGGCCACCCTCGTGAAGTCTGTTTCTGATTGTTTGGTCAGAGACATTCACACCAGTGGCCTGCTGGAGGTCATTTTGTAGGGCTCTGGCAGTGCTCCTCCTGCTCCTCCTTGCACAAAGGAGCAGATACCATCCTGCTTATTGGGTTGTAGACCCTCTACGGCCCTGTCCAGCTCTTCTGGAGTAACTGCTTGTCTCCTGGAATCTCCTCCATGCTCTTGAGATTGTGCTGGGAGACACGGCAAACCTTCTGGCAATGGCATATTGATGTGCTATCCTGGAGGAGTTGGACTGCCTATGCAACCTCTGTAGGGTCCAGGTAGCGCCTCATGCTAACAGTAGTGACAGTGACCCTTGCCAAATGCAAAGTTGGTGAAAAAGAGTCAGAAAAGATGAGGAGGGGGAAAAAATGTCAGTGGCCTCCACCTGTAAAACCATTCCTGTTTTGATGGTCGTCTCGTTGTTGCCCCTCTAGTGCACCTGTGGTTAATTTCAATTACACCAAAGCAGCTGAAACTGATTAACAACCCCATCTGCTACTTACCTGACCAAATCATTATGCCCGAAGATTAATTAACTTCATGCTATTCTCTGATTACAAAGTGTCCCTTTAATTTTTTTTTAGCAGTGTATGTTCGCCAAGGGGATGGGTCAAATGCAAAGAGTGAAATTCCCCATCGTGGGACGGTAAAGGGATTTACATTACTTTAAATTATATTATATCGAGACTTTTCTTTAATAGACCAGGGATTTCCAAAATATTTGAAAAAGGGGAAATTACAATAGATGTGAGGAATCTAACAATCACGTGCCAGAAGCATGTCTCTCAAAATTAACCATTTATTACCTCAGTAGAGAAATAAAATAAATAAATAAAGAATTAGGATGAAATAGTCTGCATATCTCAAAACAAAGCCACGCAAAAGTAGAACGGGACCCACTTTGGAAGAACTCGCTTTGATTAAGTTAGGAATGTGAAGCAATGCTTTGGGATGCCACCAGTCAAATAATGCATGCTCCAGCGACAAACAAAAAACAGGCAGTCACTGTGGGGAATGCAACATGTTTCCTTACCTAGTGCCATCTCTATGATGCTCATTTGGCTCTCTGTGGGAAACAGGATTTTTGGCGGCTTGTCTGTAAAGGGAGCTGTGAAAAGACGAGCAGAATGGAGCATTAAAATCCTCATCACTCTCCCCAGTGGACTGTAGGAGTACGATTCATAAAAAAAAAAAAAAAAAGACCACATTAAGGGCCTGCATTAAAAGGAGAACAAATAAAATATTACATTTAAACAGTGGACGGACAAAAGGGGATAAATTACGAGGATTCTGAATTAGCAATTCAAAGCATTAAACATCAAAGTCCAAAGGAGCAGCAGCAGTACTCAGCACTAATTCAATTGGCGCCTTGTGTAAGTGATGATGCTAAGGCCTGGACTTGAATATAATACAAATGGAGCTGTATTTACGAAAATTGTCCTGCTGCCTTAGACTGAAGACATTTAGGCAAAATATAACAATAATACAGGAGAATTTAGGAAGTGGATCACAGTAGCATTTCTTTTTCAAATGCATAATTAGACAGCTGCAGAGAAACAAAGCCGGCACTTAAATCCGAGTGGGGAGTTTTTTTTTTTATTCCTTTTATTTACAAGATTGTGTTAACTGTGTTAGAAAATCCATCTGTATTCTCGTTATTTTCATAAATGCAGATTTCAAGTCCATCTAAGCTCTTGCTTGTACACCCCCCTCTGAGCATCATCCAGAGTTTGGCATTTACATACATTCAGATGCAGACATTATAAACAAAGGTAATTAGATTTATAGTATTGATACATAACAGTTTTTTTTATCATTCTGACGTCATGTCAACTGGCACCAAATGAGACTTAATGTATGAACATGGTGACATACCCTTTTCATATATGGTATTTTATTTTGTTTTCCACTTTCAAAGTTTGGCTGATGGTGACTTTTAGGAGCACAAATGGTGCACAGGGACTGATGTGTTCACAGTAAGAAAACAAAAACAAAAAAAAAATGGCAGAAGATCAAAATATCAGTGAAGCCACAAATTAGTTGCGGATGCTGCAACAGACAGTTTCAGCATCATATCTTAAGATTACTGGTGTGCCAAGCACTGAGAATGATTCATTCCCAATGCTGCGACAATGGCTCAGGCCCATAAAACGCTGTCAATCTAAATGATTTCACGGTGGAATACAAGTTATTTCAGTGTCAAATCTTTTTTTTATTTTTATTTTTTTTATAATAGTTTTATTGCATTATTGAAAAACCCCTTCTTGTATTTTCCATAAGTAGAACCTAAAAGTATGAGAGCATTATTAGGAGTAAAAATACAGCATTTTTTTTTTGAGAAAAGAACAGAAACTTGTGCATTATTAGTAATATAACAGCATGTCTATAAAAAAACTTAATAGTAAAAAATAAAAAACTGACAAATCATGCAGTAAAAAATTGGTGAAAACGAGTGCCTTGAGTATAAGAGACAAAATAGGATTTGTTCACATGTCACAAAAGCTTTATATCATGTTAGCTTTACAAAAGCAAAAAAAAACAATCATTAGCCATAGCATTAAAAGGTATAACCTTTTAAAAATGAGAGCTTTCAATTGTTGCAAAAATTTCACAATGTTTTCTAATCTTAATGTACCTTTGCGCCATAAATGAGAATCTGGGCCATTTGGCCTCTACACTGGAAGTTACATTTGCTATTTCTTTTCTTTATCCAGAAGACGAATTAAAGACAAGATTAGGAAAAGACAGTTGCAGGATTTAATGAACTGATTGAAGGTTTGATAAAACTAGACAGAATCAGAGAGCTGGAAAGCGGCATTCAGGCAATCTGCTCAATGCAATGTGGCGACTAACAGATACTGCTCATTTCACCCCAAGGCAATTTGTAAATCTGCTGTTTTGGTAATTTTATACCAGACTTTTCTTTCTTTTTTTTTTAATCTGTATTTTACTATTTGATGTTTCATATAATCCATGAATAAATTTGTATCTCTCAGGAGGACGTTTTAAACCTACTCTTACAATTTTCTTTTTTCTATATTTTCCTTACAGCTTATTGTACAAAATGTGGTTATACAACTCCAGAGCATAATATCTAATTGCATTTCACAAGACAAACGGATCCCATTTATAGACAGCAATATTTAAACAAGATTATCCAATAAGATACTTTGAAATTTGATTACATACATTTATATCCAATCAAAACGATGAAGTGCAGTTCAGTTTATAATCTGATTTACTCAAAAAGAGAATGCCATCAAAAGAAACCATGCTGATTATATCAAGTCATTGACTTTGCAGCAATTCCTCTTCCTGAACAAACATGTGGTAACAGCGGAAATGGACAATATGATTTAAACAAGAAGATACCTCCAGTAAAACTTTGCCCACGATCATTGGGAAGTAGAAGTTGATTTGAATAATTTATATTTGAAGAGAAATATCCAGATCATACGCTGGACAAAAAGCTCCCGCTTGATGACAAAGCTTCACACTCCTTTCTAAACTTCCCCTCAGGCCCCTTAAACAACCCTTTGATCATAGATTTAGGAGAGGGGTCAGAAAAAGAGGGATTTTGTCATCATGATGAAGAACTTCCAGGTTGATTTGCAACCTCGTGACTCAGTATGCTGATTCCCAAATCAATGACTTTATACTCTACATACCTATTTACATTGACACAAATAAACAAATTGAAGGTCTGATCAGATGAAAAATGTGTCATTTAAACAAGTCAGACTGAAAATCCTAATTAGATTTGGTCGTATTGGAAAGACATGTCATTCCAGTTGAGAGATGGACACAGATCGCCATTCCGATCTGCTTCCATGCACCCACCCATTCTGATCTCCTCTGCGCAAGTGTGCAACATCAGTGAGAGTTTTTTCCATTGACTAAGCTTCATTCATTGGCTCCTGGTCCTACTTGGTGGAGGAGAGGACATGCCATCCCACCCTCTACCTCTGTAGCAAAAGGAGGCCTAGCATAAGGTACAGTAAAGCCCAAAAACAAATGTATGACGCAACAAAGGTCCAGTGGAAAAAAAACCCCACAAGACTGCAAAACTGAAGAAAAACAAATGTTAGGGGCAGTTTTGGAACAAATTTATATTAAGTTAAATCATATTTACTGATTTCTAATACATTTTATGCTTTTATACTGAAATATTTCTTACTATGCCATTAACCCAGAGTGGCCTTTGTACTCATTTCTATGCTGAGTGTCTTTGCAGAAGCGGGGTAATAAAACTGCACCTGCTGACTCACCCCACACAGGTGAGCTCTGTTTTAATGAATGTATAGTCTTTTATCCCAAGATGAACCTTTGGAAACCACTTATGCTTGTGTTATGTAGATAGCGCTGCTGCCACTTTAACCCATGCTTTAGAGCAGCAATGGTCATGTAACTAGGGACCTCCAAATATGAAATAATATAAAGGTTTCGGCAGAGTGTGCTTCAGAGCGGTAGGAGATTGTAACTGAACACATCTCTGTCCTTTCTCCTCTTGAGTAAAAAGAATCTAACGTCTGTTGTCCTTCTTCCTCAGGTTATTTGCTAAGTGTTTGGGTGCTTAAATCTAATAGGCAGGCACAAAGAGAAGCTAATATAGAGGATGAACCAACAAGTACGGTTTTTCTTTAAAAAAAAGGAAGTTTCTCCTTATACTAATAAAGCGTTTCTGGAAAACTAGACAGATCTGCGCATGATGTAAGGGTTTAGTCATAATTGGGTAATTTTATTTAGTGTCCATGTAGAAATAGATTCTTAACTTCTGATCAACCAAGATTTAAACTAGTTTGGAGAAATTTTACACATGTAAACATAGCTACTAAATAACACATACATCCTCATCTGAGTAGTGATTCAATTATATCATGGTCACTATGTTGCAGTGCAAAATCAAACAGTTTCAACTACCACTGGGACCCATTAAACAGGCTGATATCTGACCAAATATCCAAAATAAAGCAACATTAACTGCAGATGAAAGAGGAAATACATTAAAGATAAGCAACAACCCTAAATTAAATTCGATTCACAACGAAATATGCCATTCAGAAATTGAACAGATTTGTCTTTACTGATGAAATTTATTTAATTAGGTATAATTTTGTGTTCATTATTAATATTTTTGTTAAACTATGGGACTTTTGGACCATCATACCTAGCTTCAGGGGTAGCATTACCACTGAACAGGATTAATTTTTTCCAATCCAAGTTAAAACCGTGTGTCATCACGCTTGCTCCGTTGATTCCAATTAAAAATTAGGAGAGGAAGGCTTCTTGTTTTAGAACTACACTCATGCCTGAAGATGTATTACAAATACTCTGCAGAGCCTCTCTTCAATTCTAATGTGGAGGCAAGATTGGATTTGCAGAGTTCGCTCCATGAGTTGAAGGTGAAATCCCCACCCTGGAAGGTAATCAAAGTTGTGGTGTGTTTTTTTAACAAGCTCCGAGGGTTGATTCTTGGCAAGCATGGTTTCATCTGGAAACTTAAAGGTAACAAGGTAGGAGAAGGCTGTTTAACGCTAATAAAAATCCTGCCCTTCATTCAAATCAAGGGCATGTGATGCGTTAGTCAGTGGGTTCCCATCAAGCTGGAAGGCATGTAAACTGGCATCCACACACAAGAGAGACAAATTCAAGATGCATTAGTAAAGCTTGCTTGTCTTCAATAACAAAACAATAATTCTGTGGTAGGTTATCATGAGTGGGAGTGGGCAGGCTTCTCGCTGGGGGGGACCAAAACACATCCAGTCTGACCCGCTTCCCAACATGCAGAAAGCATAATCACGTACCACGCAATCAGATGCATACATTCCCACGCATATAAGCAGTGGGAAAGCCTGAAGTTGGTTCCTGCCGTAGAGGATGTCTTTAGACCATCCTTCATGGGCCCTGTGATCCCCTCTCACTGTGATCACATGATGATGGATGGAGGGATGGAGTAATGGAACAGAAAAAAAGGAGACCTTGTTCTCTCCCATTAACTCCGCCATCACCTTTCTCCCCGAGCCTGTCGATGTGCCGCTTGCTGTGCGTCTTTGTAGCTCTGTCAGTCTGGTTTGGTGGCCTCTCAGGGCTAAGATTGAAGGAAGATGA